GCAGTCAAAGACACGTGGTCGACTTCGCGTCTGCGCTGTGCACGTGACGGGGCACATCACGCCAACGAACTGCTAGCACTTTCGAAGCTGGTGCAACGCTGTACAGCCGCCTTGCTGGAGCGTTGGCACGCCGTCGACTTGCAACGTTGGCAAGTCGTCACTTTGCACTGCTGGAGTGCGGTCGATTTTGCAGTGCTGGAACGCGGTCGACCATGCTGCACTAGAAGTCGACCTGCTTGCATGCTAGGCAGACTTGCTCATGATGTAGTCAACTTTCCCAATGTTGTTTCAATCATTGTTATGAACTTTCTCTAGTGAAACTCTTGCCGTTTTGCCCTGTGAACATGCAAGTGCCAGAGAACGCAAGGAACGCTATGATATCCCACAGAATCATGCCTTCCTCGTAATCTAGCTCTCGTTGTAGTAGTTATCTTCACATTCACAGCCACTAAGCGACGTTTTTTCTTTTGCTTGTGACTTCTGTTCGTATCTTTGACTGTGCATTCTCTATTTGTAATGCCGGCTAGCAAAATAGCAAAACAAACAAGAACATGTCGGCGTCTTAGGGGTTAAAAAAATCAACAACCTAGGAACACGGCAGAATTGTACGGTCGGCTTGTCCGTCCTTGTCGGCCTGTACAGCCAATGGTCCTCCGGCCGGATGGTTTGACGGTCCGGCCTAACCCGCCTGGACAGCAAATGTGACACATGCTGACCGGTCTGAAGGCCCTATCTTGCCGGCCTGGCTAGCCACTGAAACGACCGGCCAGAAGGACGGTCCCACTTGACCAGCCTGGTCAACAGCCGTGACGCCTGCCGATCGGTCCATTAGGCCGGTATGGAAGGTGTGATCGACCGCTATGAAGCAGGCATGATAGAGGGACGGTAAGGACGGACCAGCCTGGCCAGCAACCGTAACGCCGACCGACCGGTCCGACGGCCCGATCTGCCTGGTCTGGGGGGCCGATCGAACACTAGCCGGCCGATCCTCCACAGCAACGTTGGTCGACGCAGCTTCACCAGCCTGCTGGGCGGTATATCTGTCTGCGTCCATTGTTGCTTGTATCAATTGCACATCCTCATCCCCGATGATAAGGTTGTTGAAAATCGTCAACGCCACCATCAAGGGCCACCTTGCCGGCCTGGTAAGGCGTTGGAACCACTGAAGGAACCGGCGTGTTGTCTGTCACTGCTTGGCGTACGGCCTCACCAAAGTTCACGATGGTCGGCGCAGCGCGGGTACCGGTTGTTGGCGGATGAGGGGATGGTGCTGCTGCTTGAAGCGCGTTGATCTCGGCCAGCAGCATGGCCGAGACCGGGTCCGATGGCGTGGCCTCGGCGGCGGGCTGCTGCGTGGTTGGCGCAGCGCTGGGGCCAGTTGTCGGCGGATGCGCAATGGTGCTGCCACTTGACGCGCGTTGATCTGGGCCAGCAGCATGGCCGAGACCAGGTCCGAAGGTGTAGGACCGGCGACGGGTTGCCCCGTGGTCGGTGCAGCACTGGGGCCAGTTGTCGGTGGATAAGCGGATGGTGATGCCGCTTGACGCGCATTGATCTCGGCCGAGACCGGGTCTGGTGGTGTGGGACCGGCGACTAAGTGCTCCGTGCAGTGCGCACTTGCAATCCCACGCGAGGTGTTGGGATAGTGGCGTTGGCAAAGGCAAAGGGTGGCTGGTGTGAATGCGCCTCAAGAGCCAGATGCTCCTCCATCAGCGCTCTTGCCACAGGGTCCTCCTCTTTCACGCTGTTAGGGCCCGTGCCCTCCACTACGCTGACCATAGTAGCGAGGACCTGGTGAGTCTGCAAGAGGATCGACGGCGCCGACGACGGGTTGCCTGCCTACAACGCCGGTTGGGAGCAACCCAGTGTTGGTACTTGCATCGGTCCACGTGTGGGTGGTGGGGTGCACAGTGTCGGCATGCACCACAACAGCTTCAAATTGCCGCCGACGTTGTTTGCACTTGCATCGGTCGCCGGATGGGTGGTGGGTATCGCCGCCTCGGCCTGCACTTCAACAACTTCAACATTGATACTGACGATCAGAAGGCCGTGGTGCGACCTCGAGGACGGGGAATCTCCGAACCTTTCTTTCTAGCGGCATGGGAGGAAGACCCGCCAGCTTGCATACCCTCCGTGACGGCAGTCCTACCCTCCACGCTGATGTCGTCTCCACCTTTACTCTGCGGGCCAAATAGTCGAGCTTTCGCCCCTTTTTTCTTTAGCAGCACGTTGACGCTTGGAGAACAAGACTGAGAACGATCTGGAATGTCGCCGCCTGCGGCGCGGCTCCCACCAGCACCTTTACTCCACTTCGAACTTCCCGCGTCATCGCCGTCGGCTGCACCTCTACTATCAACCCTTTTTCCTGGCCTTTGCCTTGTCACAGCCTCCAAGTCGCCGGCCGAGGGAGACGAACCACGCCGCCCCTGCCTCATTGTAGCGAGCACGTTAAGCAGTAGCGTAAAGCCGACGGTACCCAATGCCTGTTGCATGACGGCGGTCGCCGCCTGAATCAAGTCATCCCTTACTGTTTTGGTGACTTCTTCTGGGAGGGATGGACCGGGAGGCGGGGGTGGCCCGATGCTGCCGGAAAGGGCGCCGACGATATAGGTGGAAGTCGAGGCGAGCCAAAACTGAACGTAATCAGCCAACGAAGACTTCACTTTCTCCCCGACATTGGTCACGTGTCCACCCAACCGCATGTTGGCATCAAGACGGTCGGCATCAAGACTGTTTTGATGACTTCTTTTGGCAGCGCGGGGGATGGACCGGGAGGCGGGGGTGGCCCGATGCTGCCGGAAAGGGCGCCGCCGATATTGGTGGAAGTCAAGGCGAGCCGAACCTGGATGTCATCGGCCAACGAAGACTTCACATTCTCCCCGACATTGGTCACGTGGCCACCCAACCGCATGTCGGCATCAAGATGGTCGGCTTTGAGCTTCTCCAAGTCCTTGGTAATTTCCCTCAACAACAACGTTGTCGTGATGCTGCACGCGTTGACCAAAGCCACCAGATCGTCCAGGACTTTGGCGAAGACGGTGCTCATGGCTGATATGGATTTTGAGACATCTTTTCCCACCGTATGCTCTGCGACGGCGGCCCGTCCGGTCAGCAACTTGATACTCTCGAGGCATTCAGCCGCCGTCGCCATCAACCCCTCCGTCCGTTCCCTCTCGGCAACCAGCTCCAACCGCAACACTGCATTCTCGTCTCTGAGTTTCCTGTTCTCCTCCTCTTGTCGCTTCACGTGGGCAAATGCCGACTTACAAGAGTGGTCGATGCTGGATAACCATGCGCCTGCGTGTTTATACGAGACTTGTCTCCCCCTTCATTTCCAGCCGATGCCACATTTGCGCCTGCCTCGCCGGTCGACATCGGGACACGTCCAGCACCCCATTGTACGACATTCGTCAGGTCGGCCTCCACATGTCCGCCATGGTCCTGCTCGTCCGCTCCCAGGAGATCGTCATCGGAGTCCGCCTCAGCTCCATGAGCCTCCTTCTCTGCCTCCTCCTCCTCCTCCTCCCCCTCCTCCTCCTCCTCCTCCTCCTCCTCCTCCTCCTCCTCCTCCTCCTCCTCCTCCTCCTCCCCCTCCTCCTCCTCCTCCTCCTCTTCCTCCTCCTCCTCCCCCTCCTCCTCCTCCCCCTCCTCCTCCTCCCCCTCCTCCTCCCCCTCCTCCTCCTCCCCCTCTTCCTCCCCCTCCTCCTCCTCCCCCTCCTCCTCCTCCTCCTCCTCCTCCTCCTCCTCCTCCTCCTCCTCCTCCTCCCCCTCCTCCTCCTCCCCCTCCTCCTCCTCCTCCTCCTCCTCCTCCTCCTCCTCCTCCTCCTCCTCCTCCTCCTCCCCCTCCTCCTCCTCCCCCTCCTCCTCCTCCCCCTCCTCCCCCTCCTCCTCCTCCCCCTCTTCCTCCCCCTCCTCCTCCCTCCTCCTCCTCCTCCTCCTCCTCCTCCTCCTCCTCCTCCTCCTCCTCCTCCTCCTCTTCCTCCTCCTCCTCCTCCTCCTCCTCCTCCTCCTCCTCCTCCTCCTCCTCCTCCTCCTCCTCCCCCTCCTCCTCCTCCCCCTCCTCCTCCTCCCCCTCCTCCCCCTCCTCCTCCTCCCCCTCTTCCTCCCCCTCCTCCTCCTCCCCCTCCTCCTCCTCCTCCTCCTCCTCCTCCTCCTCCTCTTCCTCCTCCTCCTCCTCCTCCTCCTCCTCCTCCTCCTCCTCCTCCTCCTCCTCCTCCTCCTCCTCCTCCTCCTCGGACTGTGACTCAGACTCTAACTCCACCGACTGCTCTGATCTCTCTTCTGACTCCTCATCGGACCCTGCCCTCCGCTCCTCTCCTCCTACCAAGTCGGCCTCGCCACCGCCACCATCATGCCCGCTTGTTATAGTTTCGTGCGCGCTAAACTCCGCCAGGCCAATCACCCCCGCTTGGGGCGCCGTCTTTGTTTTGATCCTATCGTCGTACAGGGGGGCGGTGCTTGGCCCTGTAGGATGATTGGCCGGCGCCGACCGCCTCTCAACGACGCATCTCTGGACGTACTCCACTAGATCCGATTTGAGTGTCTTCAACCTGTGTCTCCTCTCAGCAGCCATCGGTGCACATGACTTGCACAGGGTTTTACGCTCTTTGACCGCCCATCCGAACGCGCTCACGGTATGCAAGGTGGTGCCAACTTGCTCGTATTTTACAATGTCCGGCAAACACAGTTAAACGACCAATTCAAGGCTACTAGGTCGACATAAACTCACGTTGCGCATGGGGGCGTTCATCGCAATGGGTGAGTCCTGCCCCCTCGACCTTGGTAGAGGGAGGCGCCCACTTCCAGGTCCTGCCACGTCGTCCTAGCTCGGCCAGAACATATCTACGGAAAAAACTTCAACAACAGTGCATAAAAGAATTAGTGAGCACGCCGATGAAACAACCTTAACACGACAAACATGCCTACCTCAACACGGCGACCGCCTCAGACGGATGCAAATGGTTCTCAGTCTTCGGGTCGAGGTGGCTAAACGATGTCATGCTCTCGTCGCCGGAGGCCTTCAGCAGTTCTCAGGGCCGCAGAATGGTAACGACGCTGCAGTGAACACCGGGAAGTGGCCCTTTCCAGCACATGTTTAACACCGATTTCAAACACCGAACGTTAACGACAACGAAACATCACGCCTTCTCACATCGTGATAATAGGTAGGACGGCAATGTCGGCGTCAAACACAGAACCAAAATAGGTGAGGTCCGTCTTCTTAATCGCCTCGCGAAGACGGCCGCACCCTATGATCCACGGCTTCAATTTTGGCGGGGCTTCGCGAAGTCACATGTACCGAAGGGAGGTGGGGACGTGTGAGCAGTGGTTCCGTATAGCGAACTTGAGACTGGCAAAAGGGACAAAGTAGACTCTCTAGCGGCCAGAAACGCTGACGGGGATGCGCTCATAACGTACCTCTTGTCGTGATAGCGCCGCCAAACAATCCTACTGTTCGCAGTCGACGCAAAAACTAGACCATTCGACCGGTTGTAAACTGGTCGGAGAAGACAACACACCGACGCCTTCGACCTAGAACTCCGAAAGCCATCAAGACGACAACGCCGATCCAGTAAAAGGGAAACAAAACATTCAAGACAAACGTCTCTAACACGCCGATTGCCATCACTATCTACAAAACGTCGGCGCAACCTAACGATGCAAACTAGACAGGCTTTTCGTAAACGCATTCAAGGTTGACAGCCGGCGGTATCGACGGACTACGGCGAATACGATTTGCGGCGAGCATACCCGCTGCGATCAATTGCGGCCTCACACGCCAACCCCGTCGCGCGCATCAATGAATAACATCATCGCAGTTGTAAATATAGTTCCTAAGTCGGCAAGCACCAAAAGGGCTACAAAGAACATGGATGCCGCCTTTAATGATTGGTACAAAAGACTGATTTGAGCTCGAGTGCGAAGCAAAGCTCTATGAAGTCCTTCTCGTGAAACGTGAGGGTGAGCCCGCGGCCCATGTTGAAATAAAAGGGGAAGTCCTCCGAAGTCGGCGTCGGGTGAGTGGCGCCATTGTCTATCTCCATGAATGCTAAGTCATAACACTATAGGCTAGGAGCAGGACGGAGGAAGGCGCAGAGCTAAAAAGGGTGAAAGGAGAAATGGGAAGAGCAAAATGAGGCAACGGTGCCTCCGTCCACAAAGTTAAGGCACGACAGACGCAGACAAAGGCGGTGCCCACGACCAGAGGCCGTGGTGGCTCAGAACAAGGAGGATCTCGTCCTCGCGCATGCTCGTCGTTGCGCATCCCCTCGATTCGGTCGGCGTGGGGTCTCGTGGCATGCAGCGTTTACACGGGCCTGGCATGAAACGTCATCCCTAGGCAAACACTTGTCATCACTCCAGCAAGTCGTGAAATGGTCGAGGGTCCCGAGGGGAGCCCCCGGATTTTGCCGGGCCCTCGCCTGCCCGTCAGGGCAGTGTGCGAGAGTAACTAGGTCGTCGCGGGCAAGACTACGACGAGGTCTGCCTTTGCCCTAAGGTTACCAGGCCCCTCGCGGAGGGTAGCCAGTTTACCGCCCCCACCCGGTAACGTGGGGGCCAGTTCACTTTCGTGATGGGTTTGCGGGGCGGCAGACGTGCTCCGGAGCCCGCCCCTTCCAGGCTAGCGGGTCCCGCACGCACGTCAGTTTTCCACCTCGGCGGTGCTGGGCTCGTCGACCTCCTTATCACCGCATTTGCACTGAATGCATATGCAATAACAGTAGGGTGCTGGTCTAGGAAGTACTTGAGGTTATAACCGTATATGCACTTAATGCATGTATAGTAGAACTAGTGTAGGGATGTAGAATGTAGCGAAGTAGCTGTTGCAAAGGGGTGTAGAAGGGGAGGATTGAATAGGAGCGGTTGGGTTAGCAGGGGAAAGGCACCGAGGGGCGAAATGTGAAGCACCAATGCATCCCAACCCCGACCGCACATTGGGAAATGTGCTGCGCGGGGTTGAGTAAGGTCACTCACGCCCACCCCCTCGATGCTTCTCGTTTGTTTTTCTCTCAATTTAGTGTAAGTTGACACTCTAGCTTCTAGCATACAGTGGCACGCCACTAGGAGGGAACAAGTGGGGTGAGGGAGCGATCTCTTTCATAAGTGGGTGACTGAGGCAGAGCAACACGAAGAAGGGAGGTCAGGAAAAGTGGCATGTCGAACCGTTGTCGGATAAACTATTCAGTTGCGTATGAAAGTCTTGGATGTCAGAATGTGATATTTGTCTAGTCAGCAGTGGGGTACTTTATAGTGAGTACAGCCTGGTTAGAGTTTGCTATTTGTATCCCAACTGCCTGCTAGTGAAACCCCTCTTCCTTTCATTCTTATTTTACCTAGCTACTTTGGTATGGTATCAGAGCGTCCACGCTCCTGGCCTGTGGGCCCACCTGCTTTCGTTGCTGTACTGTCTGTCTCGCGCCCCGTGGCGCGCGACGTTTTTTCTTCCTGCCACGCGTTCGGGGCGCGTGGCGGTTTTCTGCCCGCCACGCGCTCGGGGCGCGTGGCGATTTCCTGTTAGCCGCACGCCCCGGGCGCGCGCGGCAGTTTCACGCTCCGTCGCGGCGCCCCCGGGGACTCGCGCGTCGGCCCCCCGTTGCCCGTCGCGGTGCCCTCGGGGACCAGCGCGCCGCCCCCGTCGTCCGTCGCGGCGCCCCCGGGGCCTATCGCGCCGTCCCCGTCGTCCGTTGAGGCGCCCCTGGGGCCTATCGCGCCGTCCCCGTCGTCCGTCGGGGCGCCCCCGGGGACCCGCGCCGTCCCCCCGTTGCCCGTCGCGGCGCCCCCGGGGACCCGCGCGCCGCCCCTCGACCCCGTGCGCCGCGGGGCTGCTTCCCCCCCCCCTCCCCTTTCTCCTTCATCTCCCTCCTACGCATGTATGGGGGTGGCGGGCATGGGGGTGGCGGTTGTGTGAGCCGTTCCCTGCTCCTCCTTCTCTTCCGTCTCCCACTACTACAGCTAACGCTGAGGGGGGTGGATGTGTGGGAGTCGAGGGAGTGGCGCTAGGGGGGTGCCGTGGGAGTGGAGCTAGGAGTGCATAAGGGGGTGTCTGAAAGGGGGTCTGCGACAGTGGGGGAGGTTGAACGGAGGTAGCCATTGTGGAGCCAGTAGCACCAGTAGCCCGGATGCCCTTGCTCCGGTAGTCAGCGAGCCCGTTGCGCCAGTCGTCCGTGGGTCCGTTGCTCCAGCCGCTCGTCTTAGCCGTGGAGCCAGTTACTCCAGTAGTCCGGGGCCCTTGCTCCGGTAGCCCGTGTGCCAATTGCTCTAGTAGTCCGTGTGCCAGCAGCTTCAGCCACCGCCTCCAATCTCCTCTCCTCTCACAGTCCCTCCTCCTCCTCACGAATTTTCTATGTCTCCCACTAGCTTTGCTTGTGCTTGTGAACTTATTATGTGACTGCTTGCTGTGCTGATTATACCCCACTTTGCCTATGGGGGTGTGTCAGAATGTGATGTTTGTCTAGTCTGTAGTTGGGCATTCTATAGTAAGTACAGCCCAGTTAGGGTTTGCTATTTGTATCCCAACTGCTTGCTAGTGAAACCCCTTTTCCTTTCATTCCTGTTTTACCTAGCTACTTTGACATTGAAGTTGCTGCCCAAGCCTCCGAATGTCTCAAGCACAAGGGGGATAAGTTTGACTGCAGGTCGGGCACGTAATGCTGAAGCGTAGGGTGACTGTTTTTCTGTTTCTCGCTTCTTTCATGCTAGCCCAACTGTGTGCGCAACTGTTGGTGGAGTGGATGGTAGCTACAGGTTGGCTACGGAAACATCTAACAACCATTTGATTCCCGCGCAAGGATCAAGGCAAGTAACATCAGGAATGGCATCCGACAGCATGGTGCGATGCTCTAGCTCCCTAGCTATCCTTGCTACTTCGTGTTTCACATCGTCGTGGATATGAGTCGACTCGTAAAGGTCAGGACAGCGAAGTGCATGGCTAGGAATGGTGGGGTCAGTGAAGGTGTGGTTGCAAGAACATGGTTAGGCTGATTCCAGGATACGAAGGTGTGGGACAGGGAGGCCTAGGTGGATCTCTGCTGCAATTAACCAATCTTCATATTTAGAAAGCTTGCTTGGCATCGTCTCATTTCAAACGGGTTTAGTACAATTCAAATCCAAGCAATAGCATTACATTGGTGTGCTTATTCTGACTAGGCTATCCTGTTTCCGAGGGGGGGGGTGGGTGGGAAAATTGGCTAAACCGTTTGAAAATGAGAGACGTGGGTGGAGGGAAATGACCTCCAGCCCACGTTTTGTACTCCAAAACGAGCAATTAGCGCGGTTCGACGCTGCCCATTCCTACATTACAAGCAGCTTCGCTTTCAAAATACATAATTTTGAAAAGCGTTACAGCTTTTAAAAATATACATATTTAGAAAGCTTGCTTTCTTGCATGTAGCAATTGGCATCGTCTCATTTCACATGGGTCTTCTGAGATAGGTGTCGCGATAGTGGTCGTTGTCGCGTCAGTGCCGCTGAGTGTTGCTCTGGCAACGCGACTCTTGCCGGATCTTGGACGTGTCGAGAAGCTCCAACCAACTGTTCGGCCGCCGGCGTGATGTACATCTCCTTGGCCGAATCGCTACGCCACCTACCCAGCCGTTTTAGGATGCAATCCGGCACGCCTGCGTTGGCTGCGACTGTTGCAGCGCCTTTGCGGAATGAGTGGGTGCCGAGGTGCTCGAGTCCCAAACCAATCTTTTGAACGCCTCTTTGCACCAATTGCGGATCGTTGTGTAGGAGGGTGTTGTTGTCAAACTATCACGACCAGTGGTGTCCGAACCGAAGACTCGTATGAGCGGGCCTCTTTGGGCACGGTCGTAGCCTGCCAATTGGATGAAGCGTTTCGTGCACCGTACTGGACAGAAAGGACCCTGGCTTGCGGCTACAGGAACCCATATACCTTCTCTTGCCTGATCTGTCTCGGAGCGAGGAATCAGGATCCACATGGCGTCTTGCTCGAACTCAATGTCATGCCAATTGATCGCGATGAGGTCCGAGTAGCGCA